ATATCACATACACATGACACACATAAACATAGAGACAAACTGATACACAGAAGGAGGTTTTGTAGCTTAATAAGGGTCTTCATTTGTCAGTTTTCAAAGTTTGGAATATTTTAGACTATCAAGTCCTTAACAATTGTTAAGTAGGCAACCTTAAATTTGTATTCTTTTTTTTTTTTCTTTTTGAGTTGGAGTCCCACTCTGTCACCCAGGTTGGAGTGCAGTGGCACGCTTACAGCTACCACAACCTCGACATGCTGGACTCAAGCAATCCATTCACCTCAGCCTTCCAAGTAGCTGGGACTACAGGAATGAGCCACCACGACTGACTAATTTTTTGATTTATTGTAGAGATGAGGTCTCCCAAGTTGACGAGGCTTGTCTCGAACCCCTGGGCTCAGGTAGTCCTCTCACCGTGGCCGCCCAAAGTGCTGGGATTACAGGCTTGAGCCCCGCTCCTGCCCCAAAGGTAGCAGCTTTTCTTTCTTTTTTTTTTGAATTGGAATCTCACTCTGTTGTCCAGGCTGGAGTGCAGTGGCACGCTCATGGCCACCGCAGACTTGACCTGCTGGGTTCAGGTGATCCTTCCACTTCAGCTTCCAAGTAGGTGGAACTACAGGCATGCGCCACCATGCCTGGCTAGTTTTTTTATTTATGTAGAGTCTAGGTCTCACCATGTTGCCCAGGCTGGTCTTAAAACCTGTTGACTCAGGCAGTCCTCTCGCCTCAGCCTCCCAAAGTGCTAGGATTACAGGCGTGAGCCACCATGCTCAGAGGCTCACCAAAACAATAAGACTTAGCCAAGGACAAACTAGGCATCTCCAAAGAAATATAGAGCAGTCTTCACAAGATCCAGAACCACCTCAAAGACAGCTCAAAGAAAGAGAAGTCTCACTAGCTATACATAGAGTATAGCTCACATTTCTCTTAAGCTGTATTTTCTAGAATCTCAGCTTCTCAGCTAAGTACCTATGCATCAAAGTCGAAAAGACCCACACGTCCACAGATGGAAAAAAAAGACAGAAATCAAAAGCTGTCCATGGAAGGAAAAGTATCAATAACAGATGAGAACTCCAAAATGTCAAGAGTCATACAAAAAACGTGAAACCAGTAGGACTGTTCCCTAACTGGGAATCAACTCTGAGTGCAGCCACAATAACATAGAATCTTAGCCATTAGAGCACAAGGTAGAATGCTTTTTTTTTTTTTTTGAGTCAGAGTCTCACTCTGTTGCCCAGGTTAGAGTGCAGTGACAAACTCCCGGCCACTGCAGCCTCAACCTACTGGGCTTTGGTGATCCTTCCGCCTCAACCTTCCAAGTAGCTGAAATCATAGGTGTGTGCCACCACACCTGGCTTTTTTTTTTTTTTTTTTTTAATCATGGAGACAAAGTCTTGCCAAGTTGCCCAGGCTGATATCAAACCCCTGGGCTCAGACAATCCTCTCACCTCTGCCTCCCAAGGGGCTAGGATTACAGGCATGAGCTACCATGCCCAGCTTGGAATGATTTTTTTGTCAATCCGGCAGGAGATCCAAAGCAGGCAGTTTGAGCATGCATGTATTTATTTATTTATTTATTTATTTATTTATTTGAGTCAGAGTCTTACTCTGTCACCCAGGAGTGCAGTGGCACACTCATGGCCACCACACCTCAACCTGCTAGGTTCGGGTGATCCTTCTGCCTCAGCCTTGCAAGTAGCTGGAACTACAAGCGCACACCACCACACCCGGCTAATTTTTTTGATTTAATGTAGAGTCAAGGTCTTGCCAAGTTGCCCAAGCTGGTCTTAAACCCCTGGACTCAGGCAATCCTCTCACCTCCACCTCCCAAAGTGCTGGGATTACAGGCATGAGCCTCTGTGTCCGGCCAGTTTGGGCATTTAAAGAATTTATTTCCTCTTCTTTTTTCCTTAAAAGCTCAACTGTAACTGCTTCTTGTCAGAGTGTATACTCAGGACTATGCTCCCAGGTGTCCGTCCTCAGGCTGTGGGCTCAAATATGCTCTTTATCATATTTGCTGAATCTCATTATTCAAGGTTGATACTGCACCATTTTTGCATTCACACACCCATTTACTTATCCATTCACCCATTATCCATCCATCCATCATTCATTCATCAAACATCTCTTCAGCAGATATCTTGTGCCATAAGTCAAGAAATAGATCAAATTATGTCCTGACCTGGAAGAGTTCCTTAGCTGGCTGGGGAGAGAACATACAGTGACAATCAGTGTAATAAGTTCTGTAATTGGGGAGCCCAAGGCCATGGGCAGTGGGAACCAGACAGAACTGGGGACAGGATGGCCAGGAGGACTTCTTGGGTAAGATGCCATTGGAACTGGTCTTGAAGGGTGAACAGGGTTTTACCAGGTACCAAGACGGGAGAAGCATCTGTGGCAGGAGAGCACAGGCACCAGGAGATTGTGGGTATCCCTTTTTTTTTTTTTTTGGAGTTGGAGTCTCACTCTGTTGCCCAGACTGGAGTGCGGTGGCCGCTCCCGGCACCGCAGCCTCGACCTGCCGGGCTCCGGCGATCCTTCCGCCTCAGCCTTCCAAGTAGCTGGAACTTCAGGCGCGCGCTACCACGCCCGGCTAATTTTTGATTTATTGTGGAGTTGAAGTCTTGCCAAGTTGCCCAGGCGGGTCTCGAACCCTCAGGCTCAGGCAATTAACTCACCTCAGCCTCCCAAAGCGCAGGATTACAGACTGAGCCACCAAGCCCGACTGTGGGTATCCTTGAGTGATGGATTTGAAGGCTTAGAAATCACAGTAGGGTAAGGGCCTGGAAGTTGAGGCCATGGCTTATACTTGGGAAATGACGATCATCCTGCCAAATCTCCTACCCCTTGCCTAAACTAAAAGTGTGCACAAAGTAGCAGATGCATGGTGGATGTTAAAATAATAATACAAGCCGGGCTCAGTGGCTCAGTCTGTAATCCCACGGCTTTGGGAGGCTGAGGTGAGTGGATTGCCTGAGCCCGCGGGTTTGAGACCCGCCTGGGCAACTTGGCGAGACCTCATCTCTACAATAAATCAAAACATTAGCCAGGCGTGGTAATGCGCACCTATAGTTCCAGCTACTTGGAAGGCTGAGGCAGAAGCATCGCCAGAGCCCAGCAGGTCGAGGCTGCAGTGGCCGGGAGCGGCCGCCACACTCCAGTCTGGGCGACGGAGTGAGACTCCAACTCAAAATAATAATAATGATAATACAAAGGCTGTGCGCAGTGGTTCACACCTGTAGTTCCGGTATTTTGGGAGGCTGAGGCGGGAGAGTCGCTTGAACCCAGGAATTCAAGACCAGCCTAAGCCAGGCTCAGTGTCTCAGCCTGTAATCCCGCGCCTTTGGGAGGCTGAGGTGAGTGGATTGCCTGAGCCTGCGGGTTCGAGACCCGCTCGGGCAACTTGGCGAGCCCTCATCTCTACAATAAATCAAAATGAGCCGGGCATGGTAGCGCACGCCTATAGTTCCAGCTACTTGGAAGGCTGAGGCGGAAGGGTTGCCGGAGCCCAGCAGGTCGAGGTTGCGGTGGCCGGGAGCAGCCACTGCACTCTAGTCTGGGTGACAGAGTGAGACTCCAACTCAAAAAAAAAAAAAAAAGACCAGCCTAGGCAACATAGCAAGACTTCATCTCTATGAAAAAAAAAAATTAAAAATTAGCTGGGTGTGGTGGCCAACCCAGAAAGTTGAGACTGTGGTGAGTCATGATCATGCCACTGCACTCCAGCCTAAGTGACAAAGTAAGGCCCTGGCTCAAAAAAAAAAAAAAAAAAGAAATTACAATCCGAGCCACATGTTTTTGAACACTTACCGTCTGCCAAGCACTGTGTCGTTTAGTCCCCACAGCAACCTTGTGGAGTTATCCCCAAGGTTTAGAGAGGCGAGGGCCCAAAGATGGGGCTCAGATCTGGGTCTCTTCTGACTTTGGGGCTTGTGCTCGTAAACACTTGTTGGAGGGCTTCTGGCTCTCCACTTGAAGCTGGCAGCCCCTGATAATTCTGTTCAATCCAGCAAACACTTCTGGGTCATCCCTATTCTCTGTGGGGAGTGGGAGTGGAACAGGCCTGCCCTCAAGAAGTTCCCAGTGAACAGAGCAACTAAGCCTGGGCCCAGCAACTGAGTATAAGGCCAGCTGGAAGAAAGGCTAAGACAGAGATAAGGTCACACCTGTGGAGGAGGTGGACACAGAGCAGACCTTGGGGAAAATAGCAGAGCAAAAAGCAGAGATATGGAAGGTGGGAAGAAGTGAGGAGCATGAAATCCATGACCTTTCACCCAGTACAGGATGAGAGGGCCATGGGCTCTCTAGAATGTATGTTTCATGAGGGCATCTCCTGAAACAGGGCCCAGCACCCACTAGTTGCTTAATTAATACCAACTCAATAAATGAATGCTCTTTCCTGGTCCCGAAGCTGGTTACCTTAAAGTCCTATTTGAGGGGCTATAAAAACAGGTCACAAGCAAGGCTTGTCCTAGGGAAAAAGTGGGGGTATACATCAAGATTTCAGGAATACCCATGATGGATATCTGCAGATCAGAAGGGCCTGAGGCCCACTCAGCTCATCATACAACTTGCCATGTGACTTCCTGCAAATCACTTTACTTTCCAAGTCTCAGATACCTCAGTCGAAAAAGAACAGGCTGGGCGTGGTGGCTCACACTTGTAATCCCAGCACTTTGGGAGGCCGAGGTGAGAGAATTGCCTGAACCCACGGGCAACTGGTGAGACCTCATCTATATAACAAAATAAAAAAAATTAGCCAGGCATGGTGGCATATGCCTGTGGTTCCAGCTACTTGGAAGGCTAAGGCAGAAGGATCAACCCGAGCCCAGCAGGTCGAGGCTGCGGTGGCCATGAGTGTGCCACTGCACTCCAGCTCCAAAAAGAGTGAGACTCCAACTCCCAAAAAAAAAAAAGAAAGAAAACACAGGGGAGAGAGGAGGTGACCCCTGTGGGGGCCTGTTATCTGAAAAGTGACCGTATTTTGACTTTTTTCCTAACCCTCTCGTGTACAGAAACTCACGGAAGAATGTTTAAAGCAGCTGACAACCAAGAAGCAGCAACAGGTTGGCAACATAACCCAGATAGAAGATGCCACCGAGAAGCTCCAGGCAAGTAGACAGTTCCTCCTTATTCTCATGGAGATGCCTGCGCTTCCCCTTAACCACACAAGACTCCCCCAACATGGAGACAAGAAAAAATAAAAATCAACCTCAAAGGGACACATCAGGTTTGGTGAGGCTTGGGGCTTCTATAATTTAGGGGTCCTCTTTAGAAAAAGAACACAAAACGATAGACAGAATTAGGTGCAAGACCATGAAGAGGCCTTGCAAGCCAGGCCCTGAGCTCCTGTTTCATTAGTTTTGGGCAAACCTCTGGTTCCTTTGCATCAGTTGCCATTCTCTTGGAAGGATTAGTTGTCCTCCATCCCCTACACTATAAATTGTCTTAAACAAAGCAAAATAGTGCCTAAGGGCTATGCAAATATCTCATTAAATCCCACCATCATGTTGAAAGTAAATAGGATAAACCAGCTCAGTGGCTCAGCCTGTAATCCCACGCCTTGGGAGGCTGAGGTGAGTGAATTGCCTGAGCCCGCAGGTTCGAGACCCGCCTGGGCAACTTGGCAAGACCGCATCTCTATAATAAATCAAAAAAAATTAGCCGGGCGTGGTAGCGCGCGTCTGTAGTTCCAGCTACTCGGAAGGCTGAGGCCAGCAGGTCGAGGCTGCGGTGGCCAGGAGAGGCCACTGCACTCCAGCCTGGGCGACAGAGTGAGACTCCAACTCAAAAAAAAAAAAAAAAGTAAGTAAATAGGATATAAATATGTTCCATAAATCCATACTTTCTTCAGGTTTCCCCCTTCCTAATGATGTTTATCTAAATGGATTCTTCTGTGGGTTTTGAGTGGGAAGTTGAGGCTGACATTCTTCTAAGTAGCCATTTTGACTATGACAAAGTTGTAATGCTTTTAGCCGCCTTTTGTGTGAACTAAGACCAAGCTTTCCCCTCCCATCCTCCGCTGCCCCATGCTTGCAGTGAAGGCTGGAGTGGGATGCCACTGAGAGCTGTACGAACCCACACAAGTTGGAGAGGAAGACTGGCTCTGACCATGGGAGTAGCTGGCACCCAGTTCTTCGTGCAGCCAGGCCAACCTAGGCCACAAAATCAGCTCCCTCATTTGACCAACTTCCATTTTCTGTTGGATGTCTTCATGTCCCAGTATGCTGGGGACTTTTGTGGATCACACCTGTGGTGCCAGCTTAATAGTGTTCCTTGTGTCTTCAAGAGCAGGACTCTGGGTTCAGGAGGGTAAATTGGTTCCAAAGGATTTGGAAAGTGAAAGTTGGCTCATTGGAAGGGCTAGGGGGAGGTGCTGGGGCTGTTTAGCCTGAGGAACAGGTTCACTGTCTGCAGATCTCTGAGCAGATATGGTCTGGGGGCCCCCAAGGAAGCATTTAGGACCCATGTGGATGGTTTAAGACTGGAACCAGGTCGCCCAGCAGGAGGTGAGTAGCAGGCAAGCTAGCGAAGCTTCATCTCTCTCTCTCTCTCTCTCTCTCTCTCTTTTTGAGTAGAGTCTCACTCTGTTACCCAGGCTAGAGTGCAGTGGCACGCTCACGGCCACTATAGCCCCGACTTGCTGGGCTCAGGTGATCCTTCTGCCTCATCCTTCCAAGTAGCTGGAACTACAGGTACATGCCACCACGCCTGGCTAATTTTTTGATTTATTGTAGAGATGAGGTCTCGCCAAGTTGCCCAGGCTGGTCTCAAACCCATGGGCTCAGGCATTCCTCTCACCTCGGTCTCCCAGAGTACAGGGATTATAGATGTGAGCCACCGCACCCGGCTCTGTGTGTGTGTGTGTGTGTGTGTGTGTGTGTGTGTGTTTTCTTTTTTTTGAGTAGGAGTCTCACTCTGTCACCCAGGCCAGAGTACAGTGGCACGCTCATGGCCACCGCAGCCTCGACCTGCTGGGCTCAGGCGATCCTTCTGCCTGGGCCTTCAAAAAAACTAGAACCACAGGTGTGCACCAGCATGCCTGGCTAATTTTTTTTTTAATTTATTGTAGTGACGAGGTCTCACCAAGTTGCCCAGGCTGGTCTTGAACCCGTGGGCTCAGGCAATCCTCTCACCAATGCGCCCAGTTAGCTTCATCTATATTTATAGCCATTCTTCATTGCTTACATTACCACCTGAGCTCTGTCCTAGGCATTAGATTCTCGTAGGAGTGGGAACCATATTGTGAACTGCTCATGGGTGGGATCTAGGTTTTGCACTCCTTATGAGAATCTAATGAGGCAATGATGCTAGCACTGGGAGTGGCTGCAAATACAGATTAACATTAGCAGTAAGGTTTGACTGCTCAGAGATCATAATAAATCAATTGCTTGCAGACTCATATTGAAACCTATCAGTGAGTGACAAGTGACTTGATGTACTTCAATTGTACAGCTGCATCTGGTGGCAGACTTTAAGTCAGAATCTGACACTTATTTTAGTCCACATGTGGTCCACCTGTTATTTTATTTACCCATTTTCATTCACACCTCCTTTTTTTATGGTGAGTTGTATAATTATTTCATCATATATTACAATGTAATATTAATAGAAAGATAGTGCACAATAAATGTTATGCACTTGAATCATCCCAAAACCATTCCCCACTCCCTGCCCTTGAAAAAATTGTCTTCCACGAAACCAGTCCCTGATGCCAAAATGGTTTGGGGACTCCTGGTCTAAGGGGTGGTGTGGGGTGGGTTTCAGCTTAATCTAAGGAATGGCTTTCTTGCTTTTTGACTCCCTCCGCATAATGTTATAACTTCTTATAGACTCATTGGAAGTTGCAAAGATAGTACAGAAAAGTTTTGTGTACCTTCACCTAGTTTGCCCAAAGGGTTACTTCTTACATAACTAGCTATAATATCCAAAAGAAATTGATGGTGTCTGTTAGGTCTCTAAAAGTCTTAGGTTGGGGAGGATTGTTAGGTCAGTGGGCCAGTGTGCTGAGTCAGTGGTGCAGGTAAGGCGCAAAGAATTGCACAGAAATTCGATTGGAAAATATGGTTTATTTAGAAAGTAGATTAGAGAGAGAGAGAGAGAGAAAGGGGATCCACCTCCCCCAGATTGGGGGGGGCAGAGCTTACAGAGAAGCATGGCAGTGACTGCCTGAGGTTGCTTTTTAAACATTTCCTTTGGTGTGGGGGTAGGTTGTTAAGGTGATTGGGTGGGTCTGTTTTAAGTCTTTAAGAAGGAGTAGTTGGATAGGTGGGTTTGGCACCTAACTGTTGCCTTGATGATGAGGTCTGTGTCTCTAGTTCTTTATGACTAAAAGACAAACTTGGAGTAGAAAAATAAACAGTATAAAGCAGGCTTGGGGAAGGGGGTTGTAAATTGTCAATAACTACCTCTGGGAAAACGGTTCTGTCCTTGGTTAATGACTAGAGAGTAAATTAAAGCGAACGGCTAGAAAAATATGACAAAGCTAAGCAATGTTATAAATGGCTGCACTTTAGTTAAGATTATTATTATTTTTTTTGAGTTGGAGTCTCACTCTGTCGTCCAGACTGGAGTGCAGTGGCCGCTTCCGGCCACCGCAGCCTCGACCTGCTGGGCTCCGGCGATCCTTCTGCCTCAGCCTTCCAAGTAGCCGGAATTACAGGCATGCGCTACCACGCCCAGCTGATTTTTTGATTTATTGTAGAGATGAGGTATCGCTGCCCAGGCCGGTCTCGAACCCGTGGGCTCAGGCAATCCACTCACCTCAGCCCTCCCAAAGGCGCGGGATTACAGGCTGAGCCACCGAGCCCGGCTGTTAAGATTATTTTATTAAATCATTCATTTTGGCATTTTACCCTTTCAGTGTCCGCGTATAGTTTTATGTCAACTTACCATGTATGTAGATTTGCATGACCACCACTGCAATCAGAATGCAGAATATTCCATCACCACCAAGACCTACCTCCTGTTACACCTTTGTAGTTACCCCTTCTCCCCAATAATCCCAAGCCCCTGGCCATTATTAAGCTATTCTCTATCTCTATAATTATGGCATTTGAGAGCATCATAAAAATAGAATCATATGGTATGTGTGACCTTTTGAGGTTTTTTTTTTTTACTCAGCATAATGCCCTTGGGATCCATCCAAGTTATGTGTATCAGTAGTTCATGCCTGTGTATTGCCAACTGGTAGTATTCTAGCAATACAGTAGTATAGATGTACCGTGGGGCTTTTTTTTTGGAGTCTCACTCTGTCGTCCCGGCTAGAGTGCATTGGCACACTCACGGCCACCACAGCCTCAACCTGCTGGGCTCAGGTGATCCTTCTCCCTCAGCCTTTGAAGTAACTGGAACTACAGGCATGCACTATCATGCCCAGCTTATTTTTTGATTTACTGTAGAGACGAGGGCTCACCAAGTTGTCCAGGCTGGTCTCAAACCCCTGAGCTCAGGCAATCCTCTCACCTTGGCAAACTTATGGAAACTTATGTCCATATGGAAACCTGCAGTCCAGCCTGGGGAACAGAGTGAGACTCCAACCCCAAAAAAAGATGTTCTGCTGAGACAAAGGGTGGGAAAACTAGATTTGTTGATATGTAGATGAAGTCCTACATGTGACAGATTTCAGGGAAGATAGATGGATGTCTTACAAGGTTCCTAGAGTCTGGGAATACACAGAAGATGACTTTTCAGGGCCATAAACTTCTTTACTTTGTCATGTTATGCCAGAGTCAGGCTGGAAAGCAGACTTTAGCATATAGGGTAATAGAGTAATAAAACTCTATTTGGTGAGCTCTTGGGGAGTCACAAAATTAAAACTTGTGACTCCCCAAGCCTTTAGGAATTTGAGTAAGAAAACAAAGGTCAGGGTTAGTCCTTAGTCATGTTGAACATCTTTTCATGAACTTATTTACCATCTGTATATCCTCTTAGGTGAAAGTCTCCATGTCTTTTACCATTCCTTAATTGGATTTGTCTTCTTACTGCTGAGTTTGGAGAGATATCTATATATTCTAGATACAAGTCCTGTGTCAGATATGAGGTTTGCAAGTATTTTCTCCCACTCTGTAGCTTTTCGTTGTCTTAATGGGTTTTTTTGTTTTTTTTGCAG